AGAGAGAAGGGGGGGGGAGGGGTTGTGCAACAACAATAGTTAACAGCAATATAAACAAAGGCAATCCAGGTTTATCTGGCAAATATCCTTAAAGGTAAACTTAATTTATGCCAAATTTAACAAAAAATGTTTGTCCACAAAAACATGCATAAGTCATTGAATATCCAGATTTTACTTACTTTATTTTTAGCTTTGTTTACTAAAACAAAACAAACAAAAAAAAAGGATGGTTAATTTTAGTTTATTGATTTGTAAGAAGTGAAATCTGTCAGATCTTTAGTATTTACCTTTGATCCAGATATGAACGACCAGAACGGTTCCTGAAAGTGCCACTAAACCCACAGAGAAGATGATTAACTTTATTCCTGAAAATAAAACAAACAAAAAAAAAATAGCAGTTTACCTTCACATTTGTTAATTTTCACATAATCAAACTCTAAATGGAAATCTAAGACAGTCCACATCCATAAATCAAATAATTTCTTATACAAAAGTCTGCAGCAAAAATATCAGGTTTAAAATCAAACTAAGATGCAGCATCTTCACATGTAAACCAGCAGAAAACCTTAAAATAAATTCATGTTTAATCACCACGAAATGAAATGGAATATTAGAAACATCTCTTCTGTTATTTTAGTAAATATATCATTTGGAGCACATCCTGTTTCTAGTGTCTCCAGCCTAGAAAAGCTTGATTCTACCATTGTCCCTCCAGAAACTCTTCCTCTCTCCTTTTGCAAGTTTTTTTTTTTATTCCAACAGATCCATCAATACAAAATCTTTTGGATTTGGTTTGTTAACCATACAAGAATTTGGGTTAAAATAATAAACAACAGCCTGGGAACTTTCCCCCCCAAACATTTACTCCATACAGTGTGACTGACAAACATACGGGCAACAATAAATAACCTTACAACCTTAAGTTTCACAGTAACATGCAACATCATTCATTACCTTCATTGGACAAAGAATTTCTAGTCGGAACTGATGTTGTGGTATCTTCAAGTTTTTTTGTTGCGTTGCATGTCGTTTCGCCTGCACACAAATGAAGAAAACAGAGAAGTTTTTAGGTTCATGTTTTCACTCAGCAGGAAATAAAATACATGCAAACCCACACCAGAAATTACATGAGAGTAGATATTGCTAATAATTTTAATTAACCTGAAGCAGCAACTTTTCTCACCTGATTTATCTTCTGTGGACTGACGGTTGAAGTTGAAGGCCTGTTTGGTTTCACCGTTTATGACTTCACACTTGAACTCACAGCTCTGTGAGTAGAAATCCTGCATAAAACAAACTGCAGCAGAGCAGCCAGAGTGTCGTGTTGCACAGTTGATCAAAGCGATACTCCCAGTATAACAGTTATGCAGCCATTTCACTCTGTATCCACAGTCACCACGCGTCTCCACAGAGCAGTTTAATGTCACTTTATCTGTATCCTTCTGTTTAGTCACTGGTCAGGAAATAAGATATTAGGAGAGAAATTTTACACAAATTATACAAAATATGTCACTATGACTACTATTGAGATCATACTTTTGAATATTAAGTATTCTGTGGTAAAGTAGTTACAACAGTGATAAAGTGTAGCAGAGAAAAAATGACTTCATATTCATATTCATACTCACTGTGGACGACAGACAGAGAAACTCCAGACTGATGAACCAGAATGTGTTTACTGGGTTCAGTTCCAGATTTATATTGTTGGCAATTATAATAACCAGCATCCTTCACTGTGATGTTCCTCATTACCAGAGAACAGTTTGCTGCAACACTCAGTCTGTTAGATTTACTCTGATCATTGTTAACCTTTCCCAGTGTAACCAGTTCTACTGAGTAGCTGGTGTTACTATAGACCCATACGGTACCATTACAGTTTATCTGACCATTTATCACATCTTGGCAAGACAAAACCGTGTTATCCCCAGATCTCACGAAAACAGATGATCCATCTGCACACACTGTTGAGAGAAAAGAAAGAGAAAAATAATGTAAATTTGAACTTTTGAAATTTACCAGGTCATCACTAGGTTCCTGTGTTTAGTAACATAAAATGGATTGTAAATAAAGCTTTTGTTCACATATCCTTAACAGCTATATTTGAGCAATTTAAATATTTCTATATATTCTTACCAGTAAACTGAAGCCCCAGGGTCAGAAATAAATGAATCCATTGAAGTTCAGCCATTTCTCCTCTGTGCCTCGTTGTTCTGACGAACTAAACTGTCAGATACCGACAGTATTTAGGTCATCTGTACTTCCGTGGTAAAAGAGGAGTTACTTCCTCATATCTTGTGTTTTTTTGTCTTTTTAACACTTTTTCCACTTATGTCAACTTTTACTTAAAAACAATGATTAATCTTAATTAACCATTGATATATTTAACATATCAATGGAGATCAAAGCATGCTTAAATTTATCTTAACGCTTTTAGCTGAACATTGTGTTCAACCACGAAGCACATCAGAGACAGGGGCGTTTTTCACAACTAGAAGGAAGAAGTGAACTGATAGAATGCATAAAATGTCTAAGAAACCATAGTTTGCAAAATAATCTTTATAGATTTAGTGCTGGATTCAAATTTATCTAGCAGTTAAAGGAGCAGTAAGTAAAGCAGAGTTTAAAAAGCTTAAAAAGTTTTAATGCAACTTGTTTCTAAGTTTAACTCAGACATTCATCTCAGAACTGAAGGGGGAAGTGCTTTGGTGAGAAAGTGGACAGCAGCAGCAGAGCTCTGCTGGTTTTCACAGCAACAAGCATCAAAAACCTAAAACTGTTTTAAACAATAAGAAAACTTGACATCTTAAACGTTCACATTGTTAAAATGAAGTGGGTCTCATGCTGTTCTCTAATAAAAACTGACTCACACCGAGAAGAAGTAATGACAGCTGACAATCTTTGAGACATCAGTGAGAGCGACATGCATCAGCCTCTGTTATGTTGGAAAAGTCATAAATGATAATCTGAATGTGTTTTATGTTTTGAGACCAAATATAAGAAGTTTTTGGTGAGAAACATTTAAGCGTCCTGAAGCTTTTACCCCAATAATTTACATGCATACACTGTTCAAAAGGATGCCAATTTTTTTCACGCTCTGCCATTAAAACTTTTAGTTTTACTTTAAGTTTATTGTTAAATGCCATTAAGCAATTTACAGCATTCATTGCAATTTTGAATCCTGCTGGCTGAATGTGGCGGGTGCACCCGGTGAATGTGGCTATAGTATAAAAGTGCTTTCAGTTGTTGGTAGAACTTGAAAAGAGCTTAATGAGTAAATATGGCTGATGTTTAATGGCTTCCACAGAGGAAGTAGTTAAATATGAGGCAACAATTTCATAACCCAGTTCATCTGTTATGAAAATCATCACAGTACGATTTAAAGACTCTTAACCCAACATACTGACCGAGCTGTTGTGCTCAGGTTTAAAAAAGAAGTGATCTGGTTTCTGAATACATTTTGTCTTTTGACAAAAAGAAAGTTTCTCCTGGGAAACTTTTAAAAGCTCTGAAGGTTTTACCACAATGATGATGCAATAAATGGTTTCATACAGTTGCAAACATACAGTGAACAAATGGATGGTATTTCTTTCCCTCTCTGACATCAACAGAATAAATGCTTTCTTTTTAGTTCTGACAGTAACTTATTTTCTAAATGTCATGAAGTGAGGGAGAATGTTTTGAGTACATTTTTTTAGTTACTTCTTTAAATTAATTACTGCACATCTAAAATTAGTTCACCTTTAAAATAAAAAGCATCAACCTAATGAAAAAAAATAACAATCCTCTGATATTCAATGGTTATAGTTTCAATGTGTAATAATAAAACCAGTCAGTTGTTTAGCCAACACAGGCTGGAAGAAGATGACTGGTCAGTTAGTTGAGACCCGTCTGTTCCTCATTGCTGGTCTTCACAGAAGAAAAGGAAGTCGTTTAGAGGTAGTGGGTAAAACAAAAAAAACGCTGAGTTGTTGCAGCTTAAACCTCCAGTGAGTAATGATGAATGTCAAAAGTAACATTTTCACTAATCAAATGTATAAGAATTAAAGATTTTTGATGAAAAAGGCACATTTAGGTTTGTGAGAGTATAAACATTTTAGTGTCCAGTAGATCAGGTTTGGTGTAGTTCAGCAAATGATAGATGAAAAAACATGCAAGTATGAAAAATACAGACGTTTTCGACCAGCAAATGATCCATGCAGACAGATTGCTGACATTTTACTTTATTTTGATTTCTAACAAAAAAAGACTTTACACTTTGTTGCTTTAGTTACTTAGCAAACCAAATAGTCACAACAAACATTGTAAATAAAAACATAACTACAGTGTTTCACCACATGCTCCATTGATTCTTTATATTTAACAGTTTTCCAGCCCAGTTTGGATTTTTTAAGCATGGCTGACATAAAGGTAAGTTATGATTCCCTAACCTGTAGCAGATGAAAGTCATATTATTGTAGGTTGTAGCAAGTAAACAGATCAGTGCCAGGCTAACAGATGGTTACATTAATATCACCCATTCAGCCAACTTATGCCTCTGACATCAACCATCTCCATCCATCACCCTTTTACTCAATGCTTTGGTCTCATCCAGGCTTGATTACTTTATTTTGCTTCTCTTTGTTTACCACATCAGTCCCTCCATGAACTTCAGCTGATCAGATCTCAGCAGACTGGATCATCTCCAAAGATCATCTCTGTCCCCAAGCGACTCCACCGCCTCCCCAAGCATTTCCACACCGAGTTCAAAATCCTCCTGTTACCATTCAAAACTCTCCATAACATGTTCAATCCTGATCCTACTAAAGTCCTTCCTGTTTGCACACCATCTCCGACTCTCTCCTCTGTACGCCACATGTCCGTCTGTCCACCATGGGACTCTGGTCTTTCAGCTCTGATCCCCAACATCTGGAATAAACCACCACTGGATCCCCAAACAACGACACCTCATGTCTCCTCAATCACCTGTTCAGACCAACAAACCCAACTGTCCCTTCAAGAACCAAATCTGACCAAACTGAAGTTTGGATTTCTTCGGATTGGGAAACATTTGCATTTCTTACATTCATTTGGTGACAGAAAAATGGTCAAAGAAATACATAAATAACATATTTTTTGGTCTAGAAAATAATTAAGGTAATATAGACAGTTCAGTTGAGCTAATATTGATTTTATAGTTACTATAGCTAACAGCTTTTCATCCGTAAAGCTTAAAAATGACACGAGTGAACATTAGCAACTGCATCACCCAGGTGACAGCAACATCATATATTAAATACAGATAGAAATACAATAACCTGATAAAAACAGTTGCCATGCAAGTCCTCAATATGGCAAGCTAAAGTAATAAGCTATAATATTTTTAAGTTCAGAATCACCAACGTCTGGAAATTATAGGTCACTAATTTAATGCATTATTTGTTAAAGTCGTATTCCACCTATTTTCCTGGGGCGGTGATGGTGGAGTACAGGTTGTTGGGGTCAGATGATGCTGCAGCAGACGGGCCAGCAGCTGACACAGCGCTGTAGATCACATTGTCTCTTTCACCAACAACCTGAAAAGAGGAAAAGTCAAATAAGACCCTTATGAAGTGACGTTTCAGTTCAGATTTCTTCCAGCATGTTGCAGTCTGCTCTCAGGGTTAATTTTCTCTAGCAGCCAGACTTGGGAATGTTGTCAGATGTTCTGAATGTCTTCAACTTTTAGACCATTACCTGTTTTGTTGAGTCCTCCATTCTCAATAAGTCTTTTATTGAGACTTTTCTAGAGATTAAAATCTTACATATGTGTCCACTTACTGACTAGAGTCACACTTACATTAAATCTTACTTGGGCTTCATTGATGGTGGCGTAGTAGACATTATCTTCAGGATCAACCTGCTGAAGGAGGAAGATGTAGTTTTACTTCTGTGAGATGTAGAGTTACTTTAATAACCATGTTGTCACATTTAGCAGTGTATTTTTAAAAAGTACAGCTCTAAAAGTCTGTTTTTATGTGTGTGTTCTCACGTTGTGATGGCTGGTTTCCATGGTGGTGGGAGGAACTGGAGAATTTAGATTCAGATCCTACACAGAAAAGACGGGACAGTATAATGAATAATCATGTTAAGGCATGGGTGTCCAAAGTGGGTCCTGGATGGCCGGCATCCTGCGTGTTTTAGTTCTCTTCCTGGTTCAGCACACCTGCATCAAATGATGGCTCATTAGAGGCCTAAGCAGAACACTGACTTGCTGAGGAGGAGGTTACTAAAACATGCAGGATGCTGGGCCCCCAGGAGCCACTTTGGACACCCCTGTTTTATGGCTTTCACAAAGAGGAAATGAGTAATTTGTTATAATATTGATCATACTCACTGCACCGTCATGCACCTGTCTTTGGTTTCCTGCAGAAACATCAGGTTTGGATTTAACCTCCACAGTTACAATATATGGGGATTTTTAAAAATATATTTAAAGTTTTATGTTCTCACGTTTAGTTCTCCACCTGATGAGAATCCCAGCGACTATCAGGAATGTGACTAAAACCACAGCAGCAGCAACGTAAGGAGCTCCTGACAACAAAGCGGTTCAAAGTTACATTCAGATGAACTTTTTAGATCTTTATCCAATTTAACTTTACCTTTGTGAATGAAAATAGAATACAATTTAAACATGGCGAATCATTCCTCTGTTGGTTATAGGGTCTAAAAATGATTTTAAAAATTACATAAATTTAAAAAATCCTTTTATAAGTGTCCTTGGTTGGCCGTTAGTGTAGAAGCCATGCAAACATTTCTCATAAGGCTAACGGCACAAGCATGTGTCACCACTGTGCTGCAACATCTGTGTTCATGTGCCAAGAACGTTTGTTCTGGTAATGATCAGAAGAACCAAGAACCATCATGGTCTATTGTTCCAGTACGTTTATTTGATGGTGAACCAGCTGGAACTGCTGTGGTATCTTCAGTTTTTGTTAGGTTGCAT